AGCAACGAGCATGCGCCAGCGTGCACATTTTGCACTTGCTGCCTTGATTTAAGTTGCATAGCAAAAAAAGCAAAACCCCCCAAAACAAACAAGAATTTCCCCTAAACCGTGTTTCCACTAATTTTGGTTGACTATACAAAGCTTGAGGAAAACAAGAAATGCACAGCCTACTGTGTCTTGAAACTTAAACCATGCCAAAAACCATATCCTTTATAGAAATTTATGATAATCCTAAATCCACAAATTAATCTAATGTATAACTATGTACAGTACTGTGCAAACGTTTTAGGCAGGTAAGAAAAATGCTTTAAACAAAGAATGCTTTCAGAAAAATTAATGATTGTTTATTGACCCCAAATGTTTTCTGCAGCAGGACAACGACCCCAAACATACCGCCACTAGGTCATTAAGAAATATCTTTAGCGTAAAGAAGTACTGGAAGTACTGGAAGTGATGGTATGGCCCCGAACATCATCGAGTGTGTCTGGGATTATATGAAGAGACAGAAGGATGTGAGGAAGCCTACATCTACAGAAGATCTGTGGTTAGTTCTCCCAGATGTTTGGAACAACCTGCAAGCTAAGTTCCTTCAAACACTGTGTGCAAGTGTACCTAGAAGAAGTCAGTGTGGTCACACCAAATATTGATTTGATTTAGATTCCTCTTTTGTTCATTCAGTGCATTTTATTGATGTATACAGAGACATCTATAACCAAGGATAAGTGTAGTTATTTCAAATATATCACAATGCAAATACACCAAATGCATGTTTCTGACCAAATTTCATTAAAAGCACACAGTAGTTGACATATTATTGTCTGACATTACTGCAGATAAAAATCTAACATTGATTTATCAAATTCAGTTTTCCAATTAACAATCCTCAAAGCTTTGTTATTATTGCCTGCCCAAACCCTTTCTTTATGGTTTTTTTAATATTAAAGCAGCAAATATCATATTTTGGCCACTAGGGGTCAGAAATGCTCCAAAACAAACCCATCAATAAAACCTTATAGCAACAGGTAGGTACATTCTTGTTGCTTCTCACACCAAAGCACAAACACAACACAGTGCTGATATAGTGCCGATCGTTAGGTTCTTTGTGTGAGCAAGTACAGTCCAATATGTGTACACAATACTCAGCCTATTAATCTAGGTTTAATAATACTTATATCATTGTGCAATATGGCACATATATATGCTCTGGACTAGTAACTCAACAGCTTTGTCTTTACTTTTACCTGACCCTGACACATAAACAAACTCCAAGATCATCACTTTTTGCAGCAACTACTTCTCAACATAAAATGGGCACTCTGTCTTTTTCCAGCTGTAAACCATGACCATGACATGACCATGTATTTTGCTCAACTCTGCGATGTTGACTGTTAACCTTTTGGCTATAATAGATAGGTTAGTGTATGAATTCTTGAGTTTTAGGCATCGAAGAAATAAGTAACCATACATTTAGTGTGGATACTATAACAAACTGTAATCTCAAGAGAATTTGTGCCAAACTTGAAGATTCCCTCATGAGGATGAGAGATTTGGAAGTCTTTAATTGTACAGTGCCATATTTAATCACAAATATTCCTTTCATCTTATTTTACCAGTGTCAACATCCCTTAAACAAACCTAGTAAACATGCCTGTGTGCAGATGTTGGTGAACTGTGAGCCTGCATAAGCACAAGCAGACCCACACTCATCATGCATGGGCCCCAAGTGGATGTGGCCATGGTGCTTCTGTTTGCTGGGTATTTGTTAAACTTCCGAACTCGGAAAAAAAGCATGAAACTTTTCTGACAAAAACATATTCAAGTTTTGAAAGAGTCTGTCCATCTATAGATCATGAAGTTATCTATCTAGCACATCAGCATATCATTTGCATCTCATTTAAAACATGTTCATGGCCCTACTTTACTTTTTCTTTTGTCCCCAACAGGTCCTTAAAATAATATCAGGGTCCACATATTTACTTTGACTCTGTTGTTATGTGATATGAGTACACGTTATCTAGCCTAGCTTTATTATAAGTGGTTTGAAAAGGTTTTATTTATTCACTGGGTTCCACTTAAATGATCTATGTACATTTACAGTAATAAAACCAATCCAAAGAGTTAAAAGTAAATGCATGGTAGAGCTGCAGAGATGAGTTGGCTTTTTTAGGACAGTTTGGTAGGACGAGCAATCATTCCACATTACAGTAAGTCACTGGATGTTCACATCAAAATTGCTTTAGCATTAAAAGCTGAGTCGAGTAAGGGCTAACATGCACTCTGTCCAGACTTTGATTCAGACTCACAATTTAAGCTTTCATTTTATCTGCTAGTGAAGCTGATCTCCGATCAATGACAGTTCGTCCAGATTACAAATGAGACAATTTAGCTTTTACGCCTGTCACAGGCAGCAGCAGCGGCTTGTGGGGGTCTTTTAAAAACTTTTGTGACTGAATAGTCACAAAAGAGCAGAATTCAATAACACTGGCAGGCCGTTAGTAATTTTTAAATGAATGCTACCTAATAACAAAAATTTTAGAGATGCACACTCACAATATTGATGTGTGGCAAAACTGGCACATGGATGTAGCACAAACAGTATAACCTCTGCTGAAATATGCCCAATCTGATTGTGTAAGAACTCAGAGTGGTTCTTTTGAAGGGCAAAATAAGCTGCACTTCCCCAGCGCACGCGCCGCTCCACTATGCATTTCACACATCACCCCAAATTGAGGCTCTCTTTCATACGCACAGCATTCTCGTACATTTGCCCTTCCCTGCGTCACTCCTCTCCTTCCCGTTCCTCTTATCAAAGCCCTCTCTTTGAAACCGCCTCGCTGACATCAAGCAGCGAGAAGATAGAGCGAGATGAGGGAGTCTGCTTGTTAGCACGTTTAATATGTGGATGTAAATGCAGCCAGTTGTGAATATATGATGAGGACAAACATACGTAAAGATTGTAAGAGCAGCTGTGCCCTGTAAAAGGGAGATTATCCAATCAGAGATATGCCTTCTGGAAAACAAACAAAAAACAAAACATCAAGCAGCGCCGAGGGATTTATATTAAATATATAAATGAATATAAATTGAAACTGCAGAGATGACAGTGAAGGCTTAAGATCACAGCCATATATGACACAATTACAAATTTAGATCAAGGTCAAACTGGGCTGTCACTCTTTCTCTCTCTTTTTTTTCAGCTACCACCACTCTTCACCCAGCTCCTGTTTGAAACATTAATGAAATCCGGGTAATGGGTTTGCCTGGCAGAGCTTCATAAAAATTCACCCATAAAAGTCCAGCCAAATTATAACCTGCCCGTGGTCTGATCTGTGTTCAGTGGATTGTCACCAAATGAATTCAGTGTAGAATTGCTTGTTTCTCCCTCACTGAATTTATTTAACTTCAGTGCCGAACGCCAAAAATATGCAAAAGCGTGCAAAGCTCGCTGCCCAGCAGGGTTGTTTAGCAAAGAAAAGTTAACTCTAAGATCTGTGGGATTTATGCTGCTTTTTTAACTCAATAAATAACATGAAATTATGGTTTCTTGACTTGATTTGGCTACCTGTGTATATAGAGGTGAGTAATCAACCACCAAGGAAATCTTGTGTTTGGTCAACTTTTCTTATTTGATTTTTATACTATACAGTCATTCTGTTCATCACTCTCAAAAAGCCTAATCACGCCCACTTTGATTGAGTTCGGTAGAATAATACAACATTTTTGTTTTTTAAAAAGCCAACTGGGGTAAACAGCTTTCATAGTTGCTCCATATTAACATCTCATCAGTTTGTAGCAACAGATCTCCTCATGGGAACTTTGTCTACCACATTAATCCCTGGATATTGTAAACAGTGAAGAAATTGATTTTGCTGATCAAAGATAGATCCCCAAAGACGGCTACTAATGGAGATGATGTCAGCCTTGAGGAAGATTTATGGTAAAACAGCGTGCAGAGAGAGACAGATGAGCCAAGGCAGAGAAGAGGGTAAACAGAAGGGACTGATGAGTAATTGTACAAAGCACACACTATTCTCTGGGGAAAATGTGTGCCTATTAACTAAACATTTTCATTTTGGGCTTTTAGGCATTCTTATCTATTATAACCAGCACCGAAAGCATCGGTACTGACCAGATCCTATTGTGTGTTTAGGATGTTACATTTGGGGAGGAATAAAGGAAAGTGGACAAAGAGAGTGCATTACAATTTTTCATTTGTTTCTTTTCTTGCGTCATTCACCCAGAAACATCATTTCCAATAAGCCCGTACATGATAAACATTACAAATGAGGCAGAGTCCATGGGAAAGTTAGGCAGCTGCGTCACGCTCAGATATGTCAACTGCAGAGATTAAAGGTTTAAAAACTGGAAAACAGCAATGACAAAGAAGGCTTCTGTGATTTTTGCAGCGCTGATGTTAGGACTTTGTACATTTTCAAAGGAATTGCGCTCACCACTGACGCTTTAAACTTTAATCAGATTTAGTCTCGCAATAAAAACAGTAAACCTCTGGAACACACTTCTTTTGTGAGAGAAGCTACTGCAGGAAAATGTCTGATTAATTTGTTTTTCGTGCATTTTTAAATCATCATTCCCCTGCGAATGCAATGTTAGGTTCTCTGTTTGTATCCAAGATGGGATTTAGTTAGATTAATCACTAAATACAAAATGAATAAAAAGTGCAGCACATAACTACGGTGGTCCAAAGGTGCCAAAATGAATAAAATAAATTATTAAATGTGTCATTAATGATTAAAAATGGGAATTAATTAATTAATTAGATATATAAATAATTAATTCATGGGCTTTCAAATAATTTAAAACATTTAATAAATTATTTAATTGTGTATTCATTTAATTCATGTTGGCACTTGTGGCCCTCCATACACCTGGATTTTGCTAATATAATAAATGAGTCATCGTGAATGCACTGGTGTAAATGCATTTTTTTCTTTTTTTATATACAGGTTATACTACACACCAGCATCCATCCTTCTACCTACCCTCGGAGCTGATTTCACGGGACCGCACTAGGTCACTCTTGTTGCCCACAAGGATGATTGGGGTTTGTGGCTGGGACTCCCTGAGAAGGAGGCGGAGCTGGGCGGTGCGGTGAAAACTTCGCCTGTCTGTCACTGAGAAGACCAGGATACACACATCGCACTGCAGTGTGGAGAGGTCCTGTGAATTGCAAACACACACATGTATTATACAAACACCTTGGTGGAACAGACCGGTGTACACACGTAAAAAGAGAGATCAGGTGACAGCAGAGCAGGTGTGGAATGTCAGGTGTCTACTAACCATTACAGAAGATCGTGTTGCATTCCGCCAACAAATTGATCATTTGTTATTCAACTGCTTTTTAAAATAGCCTCTCCAGTGCCTGCTGGTGTGTTTGTTCAAAGCCATGGGAATGGCATCAATGCTATTTCCAAGTACTCAAATTTTTATCACTGTCCCACGAGAGGACTCAGAGGGGTTCTTTGCTCAACTTGACTATGTGCCTGTCACGCTTCACTTTGAATTGCCTGACCCTCTTAAAAGTGAGCACCAACATCCCGTCGGGGCTTCCTGTCACAGAGGCTCAATTAGCCCGAGTGGCTCTTGCAGAAACAGCAGCTTGTAACTGCCTGGGACCATGTTCGCCCTCTATTGCGTTTCCTCTCGATTCAGCTGGCTGCGTTTACATTGGACTGAAGGTGGTCCGTGGGTGCAAAATCGGTCATGGCAAGCTAACTGAAAAAAATCATGTCCAGCAAGCAATCGTGGCTCAGTCCCTCCCAGCTGATCACTTGCTGACCCAGTCTAGCATGCTTTCAAAATAATGTCTTCTCTGCTGTTGCAGCAGTCACACAGCTATTGTTGGGTGAGTGATATTAGACAGTCAAGGTTAAGGAAACTGAACTGTCTCTGGCTAAAACGTGCTTTTACATTTAAGTTTGACCTTGTGGTCAGGGAGATTAGACTTTCATTAAAGCCATGATAAATGGACTGGTTCTTATATAGCGCTTTTCTACTTGAGCAATCAAAGCCCTTTATAAAACATGCCTTAGGTAGACCAACGCTTTTTTCTATGCTTTCTGTCTAACACTCCAGTGAACGCATCGGAGAAACTTGGAGTTAGTATCTTTCCCGATGGCATTTGGCATGCAGACTGCAGCAGCCAAGAATCAAACCACCAACCTTCCTGTTACTAGATGACCTGCTCTACCTTCTGAGTTGCATATGGCCAAGAGGTAATAAATGAGCACAAGGAATGTGAAGGGTATCTTCCTTTGGTGAAAAACCCAAAGAGGTGTTACCAAATAGCTGCGTTAATAAATAATCTGGATCCAGATTTGGTGGCCCATTGACTTATAGTACTTTCATCAGAGCTATGTTATGATAAACCGCTGTACACTAACAGCACCCACGGCAATCATTAAAGCTAGAACCTAGTTAGTTTTTCTGCTGTTTGTTGTTAAAGAGAAAGTATTCACTGCAGGAGACCAACTATAAAACTAAAAAGATCTGCCAAGTGACAAGATGTACAAGCTGAAACTTTTCCTGGTTTGGAAAAATAAAGCCAAACTGAAAAAGCTGCAGTTACTTGAAGAACCACTTGAGACTGGCTTCAATATAAAGTCAGTCCCAGAGACAGTATAACCTCCATGACTGCTAAAAAATGCATATGATGTGGAGGGGTGGGTCTGACTGTGATACTACACAGTCTTTGGCAAACAACTTGTGATTGACAAGTCATGCAGTTGCGTGTTTCATACCCAGGATAACGCTCAATTTTGAAACATGGTGTAACCGAGACTTGGCTTTTTTTATTCAGTATGACCCAAATCAACTGACTGACCTCAAGAACTCAGCAGTTAAATGTTTACAGAAGTTAAGAGATAAAGCGGTTTCCCCATAGACTTTGATAGGACCAAAGGTCTTTTTGCACTAATAGCTATTGCCATCGGGCAACTGCTATTAGTGCATAGGAACATATTTGCATCCATAGCTAACTGCTCCCTTCACAACAATGACAACATGACACTGAGGTTTTGTGGGTTCAGCAAAGCTTCTCCACAATAGCGTGCACATGGAAATATAGATTTGTGAATGGGTCAGTGGGGTCAAAACGGTTAAAACGAAAGACATTTCATCTTATGTTGAACAAACTGAATCAATACAAACCATTTTTCTCCCAAAGACAGAAACCTGAAACCAAACCACACAGTGTAATGTCAGGCCTCGTTCTCGAGGCTACATGTCGATAATACAGGAACCATTATGAAAATAGAACCATAAAGTGGAAAGTACAAAGTTTTATATCCAGTCTTTGGGAAACACAGACTATGCATGCAGTCTTTAGCTATAAAGGAATACAAGTGCAGTGCATTTCTGTTCCCATTTTGTGGCGCAATAGCAGAGATTTAAGTTTATATAACATTCTTTAGCTTGGAGCTTTTCTCTTGACTTTACTGTAAAATAAAGGAATTATATTTGATGGTTGGTTTAATCCAAAACCTTAAATCTATAGCATTCCATCAGCAGACATAATCTATTCATAGTTCAGCTGAAAATAGGACACAACCACAAAAGACTGGATCAATAAAAAATAACTTATTTCGACCAGATGATCCAATCTGTCTGCTGAATTGGGACCGCATACAGTCTGCTTGTGTGAGCGTGCCCATGCCCGTGCCCTACATCTACAGCTCCCAAGGTAAACATCCCAGCCCTCCAGAGAGTTTCAGACGGCTGAAAAATTCAAACAATCTGAAGCGGCCAAGAACTGCCCGATCAGACCCCAGAGCAGGAAATTCATGGGGAGCACCTTGGCAGGCTATCTGTTTGACAGCACACAGCAAAAGACAAGCAGAGGAAAAGGAAGGAGGGGGACGGGAGCCACCGGCCACCTGTCACTGATGAATTGGGGGGAGATCAGGAGGAAGAATGAAAACAAGACAGAGAAAGAATCAGGGACAAATCTTTGCGAGAAAAGCCGTACAAAAATAGAGTAGACATCGATTAGATGGGCAATGAACCGATCCAGGAAGAAGGCTGTGACCAAGTAAATACACCTCTCTATCAAACGGAGGCAGAGCAACTCGGGACAGCGCCAACTCTCTCCCTCTCTTGATTAAGCAGCTTCTCTCTGTTCACGGAGAGCAGGCCATCTGTCAATACCAACTCCTCCCATGCACACACAAATACAAAAGCCAGGCACGCGTGCACATACAATCATCCACAACATTCACACAGTACTAATAGAGCATTCAGGGGAATTTAATGGAATTATCAAGATTAAAAACAGGGACTCGTCTGGCTGAATTGAACAACATTTTGCCAAAATGTGAAAATCCAACAAACCAATGCAACTGAAGAAGAGGAAACCAAATGCAGAGAGCCAGCAGGATGAATGCAAACTCTGTAAACACCAGGGTGAAGTCAAACAAGAAAATAACAAGGGCAGGGAAGGGAATAAAAGAAGGAATTAAAAACCCAAATATCCACAAAAAGAACTAACCTTTAAAATAAACCAGGAATTGAAATGAAAGCAAGACAGACAAAAGGCAGCGATATTCAGACAGGCGCAACACAGGAGGCATAGCTAAACACTTCTTTTGTGCTCAGAAACACAAAAGAAGTGTTCGTCAGTCCTGGGACCACTTCGTTTTTTTGAGGGAAACCTTTTAGTGCTAAGTTTCAAAAGTCTGGAGGACTTCTCAGTAGAGTTGAAAGAAGTCAGAGTAGTAGATTTGTTTTGGAATAACACATTCAATATTCACATATCCCTGGATCTGATCCATAAGTTTGACTATCTACCCATATGGAAAAGAAATAGTAAAAACTTATATGATTTACTCATGAAAGTGGCCACTTTCTCATTACTTTCATATATTGTTTTAGTAAGTATCCAAAACATACAAGTTTCATTTATATTATTTTTCATCTTATATCTGTTTTCACTCTTGTATGCTTTTCATACAAGTTTCACACAAGACAGATACAAACTTTATAAGATTTATATATATCTTTTCCATATGGGTAGGAATAATTATGTATAAATAGATATGTCTGAATTTTCCCTGCACTGGGGCTGAGCTTCTCAGACTCAGATGATTACACAGTCATAAGTCCCCGATTAAAATAAAGGAACAATATTTGTTTCCAAAGCTACAGTTGTGATACTGGCTCTATATTGAAATTATGAATAAAGAATGGCCTTTTTTTCTGTGGGTGAATGTAGCTTTGGGCTAAATCCTCAAACGACTCCTCCTTATGCCTCATGCTGTTACCCATCATTTATGACTGTGCATTACTTTCTCTGTTATTGATAGCCTCAGTTTCATGATGCTTAGTTTTAGTGCTGACTTTTAGGGGCCATAAAAACAGCATAAACATAAAGCTTTAGTTAGAATCTGTTCTAAATGACAAAGAAAAGGCTTTCTAAGACTTAACGTCTCCACATTTCCTGTTCCTGGCAAAGATAATATTGATGGAGCTGCGAGTACATCTCATTGAAACTTCAAACACTTGATTTTGAACTGGTGGAAACTATTTGAGAAGCTTAAAGTGTGTAACAAAGTTTCTGCACTATTCTCTGAATCAAAATCAGCACTTTTTAAAGACTCATATAGGTGGTGAACAAGGAGGATGATGAAAACTGCAACATTAAGAACAGTAACTTAAAACAAATTTCATGTGATAGATCATGTTCTCGTTATTTCATGAAAATAAGTGAAGATTGAAAATGTGGGAACACTGAGTTGTTGAAGACTGTGTCATTTCTGCAACAATCACCTGGGTGATGTTTATCTTACGTTAAAAAGAAATAAAATAAACCTCCAAATCTCCTCCAAGAGTAAATATTTAAAATGTGTCTGCTTTTGTCTTATAAGATGTCTTGTTAGTGCAAGCAATGATTAATTCAACAGTATGAGTCAGGTAAACCTCGTGAAAGTAGACCAAAGCATTTCTTTTCCACTTTGGACCAGCGACCCTCTCCTCCAACGTAGCAGCATTGAAATGAAGCGAGTTTGCAGACGAAGGATCAAAGATCGGATCAAAGCCTGTCCTCGGGCCTGACCCAGCACCGAGACGTGACTCTGAAGCTGAACGAATCATTCGTCGGCTTCAACTTAGCAGGTAATTCAAAGTACACTGTAATGCATTCACTGTATTATAAAGAAGAAAAG